TAATCCATTTTGTGATTTAAACCTCATAATAATAACTTTTATAATTAAATTAGTAGATTACTTTCTTTTTTTTTGTCAATGAATCCATTAGACTTTTTCTCAATGTTTTACGGAAAAATAGAGTCGAACTCTTGAATAAATTAGTAGATTCCTTTCTTTTTGTCAATGGAATTTTGATATCGTTACATTCTAGTATTTCATAAAAAAAACATATTTGGGAGGTGAAGTTAAAGAATTCAAAAGGGCAAAGAAACATAAGACGTGTCCTGTCTTCTTTTGAAGAGTCAATTTATGCTCAAAGGCTTTGAGACTTGAGAGAGACACATTGAAAGATGCCACTTGGTTGGTTCATGGAATCTATCAAGATTGAATTTTCTTTTACTTGACTATAATAAGTTAACTAAATAATTGAGTCGTCTCTTCGTTTTTTTACATGTTCCTTTATTCTTTTGAATTGTTCGCTAATTCGTATCCAATCATTTCATATGGTCATAATTTGCATATTTACACGTGATTTGATGTTGATTGGAACTTTCGTAGTATATTACTCAAGGAAAAGCCACCGGGTTGCAAGATTTCCACATTCGAAGAAATTCTCAATATGCGTATCTAAATATTGGAAGACTTGATTATGTTTTCAAGAAAATTATCTAAAGACTGAGTTTGAATATACATTGGAATTAATAGAACAGTTAAATTACATGCACTTTTATACAATTTTCACAACTAGTACAAAAGTCATTATTTGACTAGTATTTTCTTTGATGTATATATTTGTAAATGTTTATGGTTAGCCATTGCAAATTTGCTAGAGGAGACTTTCATTCGTTGCTTGCATTATCCGTTTGATAATGACATGAATAATACGATGCCTACCTCCTACGAATCTCTCTTTTGACATCTTTTGGTTTACTTTTATGATACTTATCTTTCGGATGATTGTACCATTAGGTCGCAATACGTAAAAGTAGAACTAATATATTGTTTTCTTTGACATAAAAAATACAAAAACAAAAATCCATTGCGGTTAATTTTGAAACTTTTCATTTTTCTAGTGTCATCGATCTCTATCAGTTCTCAAAAGTTTAACTAAGAGATAGTGATCTTATTGTAAAAGACACAGAAAATATAACGTAAATCTCACTTGTTTTTGGTTTAATTACAGAAACTCTTTCACTACTAACTGAACAATCGACATGGTACTATGTTTTATATTCCTTAGAAAACCGAATTATTAGAGCATGTACATTGCTCACAACCCCTAAAAAGGTTCTTAACAATTTTATAATATTAAACTAACACAAATTTAGTTTAGAACTCCATAATTTTTTTTAAAAAAAATTCTCCACCATTGGTTAAAACCATTTGTGGTTTTTAAGAAAAAAAAAGTTATTTTTAAAATTACACCATATGTTAATATAAACCATAAACGTTACACCAAGCTATAAAATGATTCAAATAGTACATTTGATTATACAGAAAAAGAAAAACCCATGAATCCCAAGGCAAAAAACACTCATGATCATTCACACACATGTTGATAAGAGTAAAGCGTCAATCTTCCTTGAGACTTTTCCGGGAGGGAGTCTTGAGAGTCAAGCCAAGATCTATGCACACTCTTCATATGGCTGCAAGCTTCCAGGGATTGCACCAAAAGCTGTTTTTGAACCTTCAAATCTAGACGCCAAAAAATGGATATACGCAGATATAACATCCTGATCACTCAAATCCGGCAAAAACGATGATCTTATAAAGCTTCTTTGATCTGCACAAGAACCAAACAAAGGCTTACATACGTGTATTGAGACTTGAATCGAAAACCATTTCAGAGCAAATCAAAGATCAAACATGCAAAATCAATTGACGATCACTACAAAAACCCAATCAATATCATCGCTAACACTATATCGGAGAACATGCAAACACTAACCCTAGATCGGAGAACGATGTAGCCGCCGGAGAAACATAAGCTGTTGAGGAGGCGATTGAAGCGATTTGATCGGAAATTCGATTAGAGGAGAAGGAAGGAGAAGAGTCGAAGGGTTTAAGAGCGAGAGAAGTCGGAATCGCCGAAATCGGCTGTGAGAGAAAGAGAAAAGCGAGACCAGCCTCGTGTAGTTTAACGGCGGAATCGCCGGAATCGGCGACGCATCGCCTGAGAGAGAGAGAGGTCGAATGAGAATGAAACCGACAAAGTCTCTTCGTCGGTGTTAATTTTTTTTTTTTAATTTCATAAATACAACCAATCAGAAACGCCCACGTATGAGGTTCTGAAGAGTTCTCAAAGTTCTGATTTCAGAACCAGTTCTGGGCTTATTTTTGATTTTTAATTTATTTTTGGCCCAAAAATTATCTAGAACCTCAATCCAGAACCTCCAATAGACCTGCTCTTACGACTCCTACTTTCAAGAGCCCAACGTCAGTGGTCTAGAAGCACTAACCCGGAAATTAACTTTCAGATGCGTTGACGAATGTATATATTCGACTCATAACCCGGTTTAGTTGAGAAGAAGAAGAGGAGGAATTACACATTTTAGTACATATTTGTTTCGCAAAAATAAGATATTTTCAATTTTCTACGTACAAAATTAATAGGTCATTTTATAATGTACCCAGATAATCTAAAATCAATATTTGGCGTTGCAACAAATTTCTCAAATTATGTAAAAATATTGATAAAAGATGAATATAAAACTTTGTGATTTGTGACCATCATTTTTACTTAAACTTTGTGATTTGTGGCCATCCTTTTAACTTTTACTTCAACTACTACATTCAAACTAGCGTTTCCGGGTAAATTTGATTACAAAGATTCTCTGCAACTGTAAACATTTATTTCAGCCAGGAA